TCAGTGATGAGCTGACTGTGGTTGTTTGGACAGAAGCTTTTGAAGCTGCGGAGTTCAAGATGAAATACTGTAGGACAATAATAATTACACTGAACACAGGAACGCACGAAAGGTTTCAAACCAATTCAACTTTTCTGTGAATGTGTTTTAAAAACCCTGAAATATCTTTAAAGTGACAGAAAGTTTGGAACAGTGTTAAAAGAAAAAATTAATCATTGTTCAGACTGAAACTGAGGAGGATCTAACAAGGTTCTCTGAGGAACTCCTTCTAACCTTTAGCTTTTTGTTTAGATTTGCTGAACAGACTGAAAGTCAGTGAGAAACAACTGGAAGAGCTAAAGTCAGCATACACAGGTAACACATGAAGAGTTCACGCTTATTTCAGGTTAATATTTTTGTGTTTATTTATGCAAGTACCTGTTTCTACATTTCTAATAAAGTGACAAAAGTCAAGGTTTTTCACCATAAAAGAAAGCATGCAGAGACCTTTCAGACTAAAACTAAAGAGGCGCCAACAAGGTCTCCCAAACCACTCTTTTTTGCATCTCCTCTTTCCCTTCATGCTTGAAATGTCCCTTTTTAAAAATAAAAATTAAAACAAGAATGACAATAAAATGAACAAATAATCGCAGAGTACGTAAGCAGTTCCCAGAGGAACCCCTAAAGATATTATGAAACCTACTGAAACCTTTAAACACGTGAAGGTTGTTAAAGTAACTGTTTGGAGTGAGATCTGATGTGTCTCTGAGTTCTGCAGGTTATTAAAGGTAATGTTTTAATATGACGTGAGGAAGATCCATCAAGGTTCCCCGACAAGCTCCTTCTAACCTTTAGTTTCTGTTTAGAGGTGCTGAACAGACTGAGAGTCGACGAGAAACAGCTGGAAGAGCTGAAGACAGAAAACACAGGTAACACATGAAGAGTTCAGACTGAGCTTTGATATTAATGTGTTTGTTCATAACTGAGCTTATCTTCTCCACATACACTTAATGCTGTTGTTTTCAATCCACGAAGCTGAGCTGACAGCTGTGACTCTCAGACTGAACTTCACTGATCAGCAGGTGGATCAACTGAAGACACAAAGTGCAGGTGACTCTAAATTGAATACTTTCCAACAGTTCAGAGGATCACTTTTTCCTGCACTGTATAACTGCAGAAACATCTTACCATGCCTGGCCCAGTAAAGTCTAGCAGCTGCAGTCAGTTCTTCAGAGCTGCACTGAGGCTTGACCTGAGATCAGTGTGTTAATGCTGTCTGGAGGTAATGAATGGATGAATTCCTGCCTCTGATAGTTTTAGAAATGGCTGAACTCAGGCAATGTGGTGGATATGATTCAAAAGTGACACATATCTGTAACTGTATGAAGAAGACTGTTCTCAAGCCAGATGATATATTTCACTCATTTGCTGTGTTGTGTTTTTGGCTCGATGATTAGTTTTGGTGCAGCAGCTTTAGTTAAACAGTGTTCAGGCCTGAGTAGATGATCAGGATCCTCTAAGACATAATTCTACAGTAGAGTGTCATCTGCATATCAAAACATTAAGATGTAGTTTACAGAAGATGTGTCATTACCAGATGTGTTTTCTCTGGTGTTTTTAGTTCAGACTGGTTCAGTTCAGCAGCTGCTGGTCAGATTAAATTCTGCTGAGCATCAGATTCATCAGCTGCAAACTGAAACCACAGGTAAGCAAATAAAATATGACTGAAACGATGCACAGAAAATGTTTGACTGCAGCTAGTTTTTGTTCATGTTTCAGATCAAATCTCTAAACTGTTGAACCTGCAGAGAAAACTGAACACAAGTGAGAGTCAGCAGGGCGACGTGAACACAGGTACATCTATCAGAAATAACACAATAACAAGAGTCCGACTGAACTGAGTCATATCTACTGTTTTCTGTTTAGAGGTGTTGAGCAGACTGGGAGTTGGTGAGAAACAGCTGGAAGAGCTGAAGACAGAAAACACAGGTAACACATGAAGAGTTCAGACTAAACACTTGTATTACTGTATGTATTTGTAACATCCAAAACTCAAAGTGACAGAAAGTCTAGAACAGAGTCAAAAGACAAAACTTTATTGATTGTTCAGACTGAAACTAAGGAAGATCCAACAAGGTTCTCCGAAGAACTCCTAACCTTTAGTTTTCTGTTTAGACGTGTTAATAAGATTAAGAGTCAGCGAGAAACAGCTGGATGACCTGAAGACAGAAAACACAGGTAACACATGAAGAGTTCAGATTGTATGTGTATAAAAATATGTTTAAACCTTTCCAATAAACTGACAGAAAGTCAAAGTTTTTCAGAAAATGTGCAGAGATTCTTCAAACTGAAACAGAGGAGGATCAAACAAGGTTCTCTGAGGAACTCCTAACTTTTGTTTTCTGTTTAGACGTGTTGAACAAACTGAGAGCTGGAGAGAAACACCTGGAAGAGCTGAAGACAAAAAACACAGGTAACACAAGAAGAGTTCAGACTGACTACAGGTTAACATCCATCTCTTTATTTATAGTTATATCTTCTTTTTTTTTTTTTTTTTACCATTTCTAAAGAAGTGACAGAAAGTCAATGATTTTCAAGTTTGCAAATAGAATTTTTCAGTGATTCTTCAGAGTGAAACTTAGCAAGATCCTACAAGGAACATTTTTTTTTATCAACAGTAATGATGGTTGTTGTAGGAACAAAGAACATGTGATGGTTCTTTGGAGAACTTTCTCATCTCACAACTTGTTTTACCATCAGTGTAAAACACAAATAAAATGGGTTTTTATAAACTGACAGTAAGAAAACAAACACTGAACTCTGGACTCATCTCATAGACACATTATTCTTCATGTCACTGAAATTCTCATTAAAATGATTCTCTGATTTTTTTTTTTAGATCAAACCTCCCAACTGATGAACCTGCAAAGAAAACTGAACATGACTGAGAGTCAGCAGGACAAAGTGAACACAGGTACATCTGGTCAGCTTATAATTACACAGTTAACCAATTACCAAGTCAGTTAGTCTAAAAGAGAAATCTCGCCATGATAAAAATGACATCAAACAACAATAATCAGTTGGAATTCAAAGTTTCAAACCAATTCAACATTTATCTGAATACATTTTAAGAACATTGACGTGTTCCGAGTGACAAAAAGTTTAGAACAGAGTCAAAAGGAAAAACCCTTTGTTAAACTGAGACTGATGAGGATCCAACAAGGTTCCCTGAGGAACTCCTTCTAACCTTTAGTTTCTGTTTAGAGGTGTTGAGCAGATTCAGAGTCAGCGAGAAACAGCTGGAAGACCTGAAGATAGAAAACACAGGTAACACATAAGGAGGTCAGACTGACTGCAGGTTAATATTCATGTGTTTGTTCATGAAAATATCTTTTCTCCATTTCTAACAAAATGAAAGAAAGTCAAAGTTTTTAGCTCGAACAGAGTTTGCAGAGAGAGTTATTCAGTGATTTATCAGACTGAAACTCAGAAGAATCCAACAAGGCCCCCTGAGGAACTCCTTTATCATCATTAATGACAGTTGTTGTAGAAACCACTAGCATATGAAGGTTCTTTGGAGAATCTGTAGAACCTCTCACCTGATTTACTGTCAGTGTAAAACCCAAATAAAGTGGTTTTATAATAAAAGAACAGTAATGAAACAAACACTGAACTCTGGAGTCAGTTTTTTTCTCATAGATGTTTGATTCCTCGTATCACTGACATTCTGAATAAAATGATTCTCAGATGGTTTCTATTTTAGATCAAACCTCCCAACTGATGAACCTGCAGAGAAGACTGAACGTAACTGAGAGTCGGCAAGATGACGTGAACACAGGTACATTGATCAGTCTGTTCAACCCCCAAAGACGCAGAAGTTACGAACCCTGTGACCTTTTCAAACCTGAGGTGTCTGTGTTCTGCAGGTTATTAAACATTAATGTATGAAAATAAAGTGTGGAGGATCCAACAACATTCCCTAAAGTGCTCCTTCTGACCTTTAGTTTTTCTGTTTAGAGATGCTGAGCAGATTGAGGGGCAGCGAGAAGCAGCTGGAAGAGCTAAAGACAGAAAACACAGGTAGCATATGAAGAATCCAGGCTGACTGCATGCAAACGTTCATGTGTTTAGAAAAATATCTGTTTCTGCTTTTCTAACAAACTGAAAGAAAGTCAGAGTTTGATGAATGAACTGGAACTCAGGAGGATCCAAAAAGGTTTCTTGAGGAACTCCTTTATCAACATTAATGATAGTTGTAGGAACGACTAACATAAAGGGGTTGTTTCTGAAACAAGCGGATCCCCTTACCGTATTTAAAACACAAATGAAGTGGTTTTGTAAAATGACAGTAATAAAACAAACACTGAACTCTGGATTCTGTTTTTATCTCACAGAAATTTGATTCTTCACGTCACTGAAGTTCTGACTAAAACGATTCTCTGATGGTTTCTGTTTTAGATCAAACCTCACAACTGATGAACCTGCAGAGAAAACTGAACATAACTGAGAGTGAGCAAGACGACGTGAACACAGGTACATTGATCAGTCAGGACAATCAATCAGTTAACCAATCACTGAATCAGTTAGTCTGGAGATGACACCTTTTGAAATTGAGGAACCCCTAAACATTTTGAAACTGGACAAAATGAACACACTGAAGATTATAAACCACCTCAACATTTATTTGTATATGTTTAAAAATGCTGAAATGTGTTCAAAGTGACAGAAAGTCTGGAATAGTCAGAAGAAAAAAATGTTAATTGAATGTTTAAACTCAAACTGAGGAGGATCTAACAAGGTTCCCTGTGGAATCCTTCTAACCTTTAGTTTTCTGTTTAGAGGTGTTGAGCAGACTGAGAGTTGGAGAGAAACAGCTGAAAGACCTGAAGATGGAAAATACAGGTAACACATGAAGAGTTCAGAATAAACACTTATATGAATCTGTTTATTTATAAGTGTATAAAACTCAAAGTGACATAAAGTCTGCTGAGAGAATCAGAGTTTCTTCAGACTGAAAGTATGGAGGGTCCAACAAGGTCCCCTGAGCTGATTAATTCCACATACTTTTATTTGCTTTCATGTTGAATGGTCTTTATATTTAACTGATGTTCATTTTGTCTCCGTTTTAAAGTCACTAAAGCAAGAACAATGAATAAAATGCACTAAAAATGGCAACGGACTTCAACTGACTCCCTGAGGAACCCCTAAAGATGTTACAAACCCTGCTTAGACTTTCACAAACCTTCAAACTCAATAAGATTATTAATGTAACTAACTCTAGTGAGTGGTTGTTAAAGTAGTTTTGCTTAAGTTTCTCTGCAAAACACTGTGAGATAAGTATTACTAGCAAAAATAAATAAAAATGGCAAAGGACCTTAACATGTTCCCTGAGGAACCCCTAAAGACATTATATACCCGATCAGACCTGTATGAAGGTTGTTTAAGTCTTCAAGTGAGACCAGAGGTGGCCCAGTGTGTTCTGAAGGCTTTTTAAGGTTAATGTAATAAATAATAAAGTGAGAACTGTTTCCACTTCATGAAGCCGAGCTGACAGCTGTGACTCTCAGACTGAACAAAACTGAGCTGCAGTTGAGCGAACTGAGGACTCTGAACACAGGTGAGTTCAGATACATTCACTGACCATCCTGTAAATCTCTGCGCTGGCTGTTGTTTCTTCACATTTCTAATATGATCTTGTTTTCAGTGCGAGCTGCTGAGCTGGTTTCTGTTTCAGATCGACTGACAGCAGCTGAGAGAGACGCTGAAGGTAACAAACAGCCTTACTTACAGTTTTCTGTTTGCTGTGTAAACATGAAACACATGAGAGTGATTTTTCATCAGAACTGCAGGTCAGACTGAGAGCTGAGGAGGCTGCAGCCAATGAAGGTAAACCTCCTGTCACACGTTAGTTATTATGGTATTGCTGGAGGACTTGGAGTTAAAAACGGTTTCCTGCAGATGAGCTGAAGGTGGCGTTTTCAGCCGGTCTGACAGATTCAGGATCAGTTGGTCCGTTTGATGAAGAAACAACTCTGATTTTCTCCAAAACCATCACCAACATCGGCCGAGCCTACGACCAGACTGCAGGTAGCTCACAGACAGTAATACCACCTCACAGTAATCAGATTACTTCTGAGTTAAACAGTGGAATATTTGCTCTGAAAACAGATGTGTTTATTGTACTCATTTTTGTTTTTAGTAACTAATAAATAGCGTCTGTTTGGTTCTACAGGTGTGTTCACGGCTCCAGTCAGAGGAGTTTACTTTTTCAGCTTCACGGCTGCAGATTACCTCAAAGGCTACATGGGTCTGTACCTGTACTGGAACAACCAGCCAGTTGTCTTCAACTTGGAGCTGAACGACCACGGCGGCTACGCCTCCACGTCCAACGCTGTGGCTCTGCAGCTGGAGGAGGGTGACCGGATCCGCCTCAGCCTGCCGGCCAGCTACCGGCTCTACGACGACAACCGAAACTTCAGCGTGTTCTCTGGCTTCCTGCTGTTCCAGCTGTGACAGAAGAGTCACAGGATCAGACGTCATCTCAGCGATAAACCATCCACCAGACAGAAACATAAACACTGGACTTTTGTTTTGGTAGCGTCAGAGACTTCCTCTGGTTCCAGTCAGAACGGACTGAATACTGAAGACGTTTCAGGAAAATGATGGTGTAAATAACAGCTGCCATGTTTAAGTCTGTGACGATAATAAAGAATATAACTTTGATTAGAGTTCTGTGTCTGCACTGACGGAACCAGGAATCCTGAGGGCTCCAGTAGAAGGCAACTGGACTTGTCTTTTTTTGGTTCATGAAGATGTTTTACCTTCATCCAAGATGTAAAACATCTTCAAGAACCAAAAAACACAAGTACTGAAGCTCTGAGGACTATCACGACCCGGGTGATTGAATATCTGCACAGACAGAACCAGGACTTGAGGAGAACACTACAACGTGTAGAACTCATACGTGTTTGTAGTTTAGACATTGTTCCATTTAATACCTGCAGAATTCATCCAGCATTTTAGAAATTTACCTACAGCAGTTAAGATAATTTATACATTCTTTTTAGTTGGTTCTGTACAATTAATCTTCATACAGTGACCATTATCTGTTACATGTAAATGACCAGTTAATCCATGATATGGTGTAGGTACTTCTTACTTTTTGCTTTCCCATGACTTTTTTACGACCTACTGTACTATGACTTTTTACACCAAGCTATACTATTGTTTTTTTTGTTGTTGTTGTTTTTTTAACAACACATTATGACTTTTATACAAGACACTAAACTGCAACTTTTTCATTACATACAATAATTGACTTTTTTTTAATGACAAACTGTACTCTGACTTTCTTTACGACATCCTATACAATGACTTTTTCATGACATATTGTACCATTACATTTCAACACCACACGATACTTCTTTACATCATATTATCACCTTGTTACAACATACTTTATTATGACTATTTTGACGTATTATATGGTGAGTTTTTGTTATGACAGGCTACACTATGACATTTCTGACATATTATACAATGAAGTTTTTATGATATTCTACGTCAGATTTTTACAGAAACTATGCAGGATGTTTTTTACAATGGACTGTACTATGACTTTTTTATGACACACTGCACTCAGGTTTTTTTTCAACTTATAATATTCTGTTGTTCTTAACAATATACTGTTCTGTGACATCTTTTTTGCAACACTATAATATAAGGGTGTTTACAACAAAATATACTCACATGTGTATTTTCTTTTGGAATGTTACACTGTACTATTTTAAGACATCCATGACACTTTACTTACATTTTTACAATATACTATTGTATGAGGTCTTTTCTGGCATACTTTACCATGACAGTTTTATTGATATTTTAAATATTTACTTCCAACAACAACTACTACATCCTTTGATTCTGGATTCAGCATTTCATCAATGGTATAGAAAACTATCTGAGGTTAAACTTCAAGAATTATATATAATCAACTAATGGAAAGGAATTTCTATGTTTTCTGTTCACTATATAAATGTATTACACTTCTGCTTTTACTTTGACAGTCTGTACAAGCTGTTATTATCTATATTGTATACAAAAATAAATTCATCAACCACCAGCAATGTGTTTGTTTTTAAGTTTAAGCAGCTTTCCTTGACATTTAATAGGATGTATCCACTTTGACGACTTTAATAACATACTCTAGCATGACTTTTTAATGATGTTTCAACTACATACTATGTGATTTGTGACATACTATACAATGACATTTTTTACGCCAAACTATAATGTGATGTTTTTTTTTTATGGCATACTATACCATGTCATTTTTCAACATACTATACTATGACATTTTTACAACATACTATGACGTTTTTACACCATACTATACTATTAGGTTTTTTATGATGTACTACACCATAACATTTGAACGACATTCTAAACTATGACGTTTTTTGCAACATACTATACCATGACATTTTTTGACATACTATACTATGACTTTTTAACAACACATTATACTATGACTTTGACATAGTATGCTATGACATTTTTTTCGACATACTATACTATGACTTTTTTTACGACATACGATGGTGTGATGTTTCGACATACTATACTATGACATTTTTCGACATACTATACGACATATTACACTACGTTTTTTGACATGCTATACTATGACATTTTTTTCGACGTACTATACTATGACTTTTTAACAACACACTATACTATGATGTCTTTTTTACATACTATACAATGACTTTTTTTTTACAACACACAAAACTACGACTGTTTGACATACTATACCATGACATTTTTGGACATACTATAACAATACCTTTCTTTTGATGCTTTTTTGACATACTATGACATTTTTTTTTACGGTATACTATATTATGATGTTTTGACATACTATACTATGACGTTTTTTGACATGCTATACTATGACATTTTTTTCAACATACTATACTATGACTTTTTTACGACATACTATACTGTTTCGACATGCTATACTATGACTTTTTTTTTTTTTTTACGACATACTATACTATGATGGTTTGACATACTATGCTATGACTTTTTTTTTTTTTAAACATACAACCATGACATTTTTTGACAAAAAATA